GACAGAAGCTCATGATGCCAGTGAGTCCTCTGATCCTTAGATAGGCTAGAGAAGTGCATGAAAAGATGTTGGTAGCAGGATAAGTTCTACTACCTCTTAGAAATGCTACACGTTTGTGTCAGGAGGGTTCCTTGGGGACTTACTCTAAGATGCTGAGATACTTGATGGCCAATTGCTTTCAGTTTGGGCTTGCATCCTTCATTCTGAGGCAACCAAACTCCCATTCTGTATCTATTTAACATGGTAAAAGTGCAAAACAGAAATAACCCAAATATCAAAGAAGATTAGTTGAATAAATTACAGTACCTCCATATAAGTAAATATCATGTTATAAATCATGATCCAACTCTACATTTACTGACATGGAAAGATATTCTTGATTTATTGCTAATTGAAAAATGTTAGTGACCTCATGTTTCTGTCTATTCACATATATTATTGTGTAAATAGTATGAAGTAACAGTTATCATTATAATAATCTAGGTCAAGTGTTGACAGACTACTACCTGTGTGGGCTAAAGCTAGCCTTCTGCCTATTTTTGTAAATAACGTTTTATTAGATCACAACCATGCTGGTGGCTGCTTTCCTGCTATAATAGCAAAAGCTTAGTAGTTGCAACAGAAACAGTATGGCCTACAAAAGCTTAATGTATTTTTACCATCTGGTGCTTTACAGAAAAAGTTTATTTTAGGTGATGGAATCATGGGTGATTTTTAAAAATTTTTTGTATGACTTTATTTTCTACATTGAACATAAGTTTATTATATAAAATATGTATCTGTTATTAAATCATTAAAACCTGGTTAGAAAAAACTTACATTAGTAACATTAAACTGGAGAGTAATCTTGTAAGTGGAGTCATAAAAATTGGATTTTAGGTTCCAAAGTTCTACTTCGAAACATAAGATCTACAATGTAGTTATAATATTATTTTGATTGTTTTTTTAAATTAAGACCTATATATGGATATGAGTCTTCTAGTTACCAACAGGATTAGTTTCTGGAAACTGCTTCCAGAACTCCTGGCATGTTCTTTTCATCTTCTGTGTTAGCTTATTTGTCCACTGAAGCTGTGTTTTCAGTAATATAGCGCAAAGTTTGATGAACAGGTGGGTTAATCTGAGTAAAGTTTTGGAGTAAAAAATAACTGTGACGAATAAATATTGAAGACTGATTTCTTTCACATAGTTTATCAACTAGATATGAAAACAGTTCCAAAATGGGAGGTTTTCAAAATGCTTAGAACTTTGGGAAATAAGTAAATCAATGTGGAACCTTCCCCGACAGCTACTTTGAAGAATTAAATTCGCTTGGATGCGTAAATTACAGATATTTGTTACAAAGGACAATTCTGATGTAGCTAAGCAAATTTTGCTTCAAAGTCTTGTAGGATAAAACCTAAAAAAAGGCGTTTGAGTAATCAGAAAATAATGAAGACAGTCAGAAGACCTGCTAATTAACACTAGGTGAGGGACTACTTGAAAATGGAATTCACATTAACCAGAAGAAGTTCCAGATGACATGCATCTTTATTAAAAGAAACAGAAGTAAACAGTACATTCATTAAACTTTCAAATACACAAAATAAGGAGGCTTTTAAAAATGCCAACGAGAAAAGAAAAATAACAGAATGGATTTTGATAAAAATATAAAGCCATTAAAATGAGAAATAACAAAATTAAGCTTTGAAGCTTATGAATTTGTACATCCAGAAAGAATGCCAAAGTTTAAATATATTATTGCATTGATGATTTTCGGATCTGCTTTATTGACTAACTAGTATCAATCCAATGGCAGAATTTCCTAAATATGATGGGACCATTTACACATTTTCAGGGTCAAAATTTATCCCTGTATTCACAAAGCTTAAGACTCTGGCTTATTTAGAGGATAAAAAGTAAAACATGACTTATGTAAACATACCATATCTCTTAATATTTTTAAAGGAAAATGGCCTCCCTTAGTATCCATTTTACAAGTTTTAAGATATCCTCTACCTTCTGATTCAACTCACCATTATAATAATATCTCTCGTTACACCTGTTGCCATCATCTGTGCTGAGCTAGCAGGTATTAAGCAAGCAAACGCCAAGCTTTCTAACACCTAAGCATTTCCTCATGTTTCCACCTCTAACCATTCACTTCCTGTTCCTTCTCACCTCATCCTGTGCTTGTCTAAATCTGACCTTCAAAACCTGGCCAAAATATCACTTCCTTTATGAAAATGTCTCTCTCTTCCTAACCAGAAGAAATCATTTCCTGCTCCATGCTCCCATGCCTCTTACCCGTTTCTGTCATAAATGAGAGATCTCTGAGTGACTATCTCATTTTCCCTGCTAAACTTATATTTTCTTAGTCTATACCTACTTTATTTACTATTCTCTTCAGTGTCTAGCACATTGTCAGCAATTAGCATCTTGTTAATATTCATTTGTTAATGAATAAATGACCTCTTTTGAAAAGGAGATATGGAAAGGAAATCTGTTTAATTTTTCTTAAAGAAATAGGAATAGAGAGAAAAAGATAATTCTGTCCATCTTCTCTGAATCAGATGATTGTTGAATAGGCTAGATATTTTCATTGAAGGCAAATATGCTTTAAAACTAAAGAAAGCAACAGCTTTATCACATCTCCAGTGACCACTGTATGCCTTTTATAATGTCAATGCCACATGAAGTCCACCCTTTGTGCAGGAAGATGAATACACTACCCAGTGAATAGTTAGAGAAAAACCTCATGCTCATTTATGCCACCTACTAATCTGTGGGACATTATTCAATTTTGATGAGCCTGAGTTTTCTCATCTTTGAGATGGGAATAATTATTTTCAGCCTTAACCTATTTCACAAGTTTGTTGTGACAGATAATAAGATAATGTAAGTGATGGCACTTTGTAAATTGTAACATTCTATATAAATAAGAGTATATGAGGGAGATCAATATAAGGGACAATAAAATAAATACGAATAAGAGAGAGAATGAGTAAATGACTAAAACAGGTCAGATTCTTTAGGTGAAATTTGTATGAAATATCTTATGAAATGCTTGAAGTAAAGATTTTGCTCTGCAACAACTTGAGTTCCATCACAAGAAACTGAGTAATTCTGTAGGTGCAAATGTTAAGATTACTGAATGATTTCACTGCTTTGTGAGTTCTATAATATTGTAAAATCACTCTGAGGGATCCTTATAGATGAGATACTTCCAAGCCTGAAATAATCTTCAATCTAATTTACTTACTGTTACCATTTAAGAAGATTGATTTTATTTCCTTCTCTCATACTATGGAAGTCAGTTTAGTAAGAGTCTAAGACCTTTTCCATCATACTTCATGGCATCCTGAAGTTTTAATAAACTTGCTGAAAAGGAATATAAATTGTGAAACCCACGGATAAGAAAAGAATCTGAGCATTTATTTATTCCAAACACCATCCAGATCTGGAATTCATCTATAGAATCTCTGCTAGTCTTGACCTGGATGGATCCAATGCAGGAAAAGGGATGGAAATCAACTGTTGATCCCAAAATCAAACAGGTAGAAATATGATCTCCCTTTATTTTTGATGCATATGAAACCTTTGGCTTCACCCCATCTGCAGAACAGACACACACTATCATGTTGCAGTTCTTCCAGTCACTCCTTCCCTTTTGGTCATCCAGGCCCATGGTACACAGTTCCAAATTAGCTAGGACAATTAACAAATAAGTTTTCAATTTTAATTTCCTTCCCCTCTTAATAAGACTTTATCAGCACATCAATAGACATTTTCTGAGAGCACCAGCTCTACTCAGCTTAAATGTGTGATGGATTAGGCTGTTGCCTAAGAAGTTCCAGTTTCTTTCCCAAAGGAGCCACTGAACAGAACCTGTCTTGAATAGCAAATGGACCCTGAAGAGTGAAATTCTGTTAAAGTCACTCTGAGCCTCCTTATAGCTTGCAGCATGGGCCTTGAGAATTAGAACATTTAGTAGCTACATGATCAAAATGCCAAGATGTCTATACATGATTTGGCTAATCCTCATATTGTGCTTATGGTTAACGTCATTACTTAAAACTTAAGATTTTAGGGCACCTGGCTGGCTCAACTGGTAGAACATGTGACTCTTGAGCTCAGGGTCATGAGTTTGAGCCCCATGTTGGGGGTAGAGCTTACTTGAAAAAAAAAAACTTACAATTTAGACTGGTAGTCATAAGTATAATGAATGAAATCTTTGCATCTTGTATTTTTATTTATTTATTTATTTATTTATTTATTTTATTTATTTGACAGAGAGAGACACAGCAAGAACAGGCACACAAGCAGGGGGAGTGGGAGAGGGAGAAGCAGGCACCCTGCCGAGCAGGGAGCCCAATGTGGGACTCGATCCCAGGACCCTGGGATCATGACCTGAGCTGAAGGCAGATGCTTAACGACTGAGCCACCCAGGCACCCACATCTTGTATTTTAGATAAATTGCTTTGCCATTCAAAGAGCAGCAAAATCTTAACTGACCATAACCCAAATTAACCATGCTTCTTCCCTCACCTCTACCCCAGTACCTCAAAGTTAAAATGCTAACTTGGTATAAAAATTGAATTTTAATTTCATGTCCATGTCATAATGAAAGCATGAATAGTCAAATAAAACCACCATTGACAAATGACTTATTTCACATTACCATCATATCATGTACTCGTATTGGAAAGAAGTTGGTTTTCCTATACATGAAAAACTTCCCTGGAACATAATTTACAACTCAAAGATCTCAGAAAGTTACCTGCCACCAGTGGGAGAAAAAAAGTCATTTTTCATAAGTCATCATAATCTAGGGGTGAACTGATATTGGAAACTGATGGCATGGAGTTCTTTTTCAATCAAGTTCAATGAACTAAAATCTGTGCTGGAGATTAAAACTATATACGGAAATCCATTTTCTATGTGTAATTCCTCTATGTCAATTTTCCATGTGTTGATACGGTACATGAAGCTTGAATATGATCTCTCTGCGTCTCTCTTAGAAGATAAAGGGAAGCTAAAAGTCAACAGTTGCAGTCAGCCATCAGGCTCCGAAGGGGGCTCCTATCTCCTCAAATCTGGCACAGCACCCTTGCCACCTGGGGCAGCTGCTTCTCCCTCGAAGAGCACAAACGGAGCTCCTGGTACTGTTTCTGAATCAGAAGAAGAAAAAGCCAAAAAATTACTGTATTGTTCACTATGCAAAGTGGCTGTGAACTCCCTGTCACAGCTAGAGGCACACAACACAGGTTAGCAGCTATCATTTGAATTTAAATCGTGTTTATAACAAAACCCAACTTTTCCCAGCAGAATACCGTATCCTTTGTTGTTCAGACGTTAGGTTTGTTCCGTGTCTTCTCTGCTTTTTTGACTCAAAGCAATGATTTTAAGAAAAGTAGGGTATAATAATTTTGGAAACAGCAAGGCAAAAGTTTAAAGCAAATTGGAGATAAAACTTACTCTGTTCTTTATTTTCTCAAAAGCACTAATATTTCCCAAAACTCATTACGATGAAGTGACAGAGATGAAGACAAATATCTATGCACAATGTTCACTCCAACACACTTAGAAAAAAAGAGAAACAATTTAGAAGTCCCTCAGTAGGGAAACGTCGAATGCATTAGAGTAACCCAACATGAGAGAATATAGTACTCAGTCATTAAAATGTAACTATTAAAAAAAAGTATATGGTTTGCTGTGTGAAATTTTCAGGATATTTAACTAGTATGATCACAATTTTGAAAATATGTATTTTTTAGCATATAAACAAAACAAAACCTGAAAAAGAAAACTAAAATGATAACAGCGATTATCTCTGAGTGGTGAAAATATAGGGTAATCTTTCTTATGCTTCTCTATATTTTCCATATTTTCTCCATAATATACTCATGTTTTCCCATTTTTTACCACAAAAATGTGTTGAATAATCAACGTCATTGTTTCTAATAAATAAAGTGTTTATAATCAGCATTAAAATTATTTTTTTAAAAAGCAATGAGAAATTCAGCCTGAAGATAAACTTCTCAAAGATAAGAAAACAGAGAGCTATTCATATATCTATTCACTTCTTAAATAGCTACTTACTTAATGTATGTCTCTTTCTGTCTTAGGATCTAAACACAAGACCATGGTTGAAGCTCGTAATGGGGCTGGTCCAATTAAGTCCTATCCTAGACCTGGATCAAGGTTAAAGATGCAGAATGGCAGTAAGGGCTCAGGACTACAGAACAAGACATTTCATTGTGAAATCTGTGATGTTCATGTTAATTCAGAAATTCAGCTCAAGCAGGTAATGTATCCTGAATTAGTATTCACTGTTGTTGGGTCACCACTGAGGAAGTTTTGGATTATAGGTGAGGTTCTGTGGGGTGAGGTCTGGAGCGGATGACCAAGAAAGAATTCTTGAGATGTCTTTGTTGCAAAATGGTGGTTTATTAAAGCCCAGGGACAGGACCCGTGAGCAGAATGAGCTGCTGCACCGGGCTGTGAGGCGTGGCTGATTATATACTCAGGAGTTGGGGAGGTGAGGACAAAGGGGGTGTCCAGAAGGATTGTCATATGCTAAAGAAGGCTCTCAGGATACTGGAGGCCTGGTTATTGATTGTCAAGCCAAGGCTGTTTTTCCCTTTAATGAGGCACTAACAGGAAGACCGCTGGGAGTTTCCGGGAGGAATGTTACATTCCTCCTATCACACGTCCTTGTCAATGGGCTTCAGGTTCAAAAAGAAATTCAATTTTATTTACACTTCCATCTGCCTCGGCCTCCCTTTATTTTATGGAGGGGAGGGTGATGTTAGGGCTTCCGGAAACTGAGTTCTGGGTCTCTGGAAGTTAGGCTATTGATAAGAAAGCTCCTTCCTTGTAAATCACTAGGACATTTGTAAACTGAGGGAAACTCCTGTCCTGCAGGACCGTGATCTCGATCAGTTAACCACCTGTTTTTCCTTTAGGGCAGCCAGGAGTGCCTGAGGAATGTCACATATATCACATCGGGCGGGGAGGGTGTAGGGTGTCAGCTTCTGCTTCGTCCTCAGCTAGCCTTCTGCTCCCTCATCAACCACTGGCTTGTGTATCTAATCTATATGATGGTTCTGGGCTAGGCGAGCACAGCGTTCAACCTGCAGCTTGTAGTCAGTCGAGCAGGAACTTCTGGGAGACAAGATGTTCAGCCCGTCTTTCAAAGACCAAAATCTGGTTAGGGAGACAGACTCATCAGTCACGATGGTAACAACAGGCAAAGCTGGGTAAGTACTACAGAGAAAGGAAAGGAAGAGAGGCATCAGAACTGAGCGGGGAGCAAGTCTGAATTTTGAGAGCGCGGTGATCTAATCCTCACCACCTTGTAACTGTGGACCCAGAACTGGGAATGGAGCAACCCGCTACCTCTATCTAGGAAATACATTTTACATGGAGTAAAGCTCACATTCAGATTCAGCTAATGCATCAAACTTTTTTCAGCACATTTCTAGCCGAAGGCATAAGGATCGAGTTGCAGGGAAACCACTGAAGCCGAAATACAGCCCTTACAATAAACTCCAGCGGAGCCCAAGCATTTTAGCAGTAAGTTCGCCTCACCTGCTCACTTGTTTCATGGGTCTACCTTCCTGGCTTGGGCAGGGACTGTGGGTTAGGAGGGCCTAGGGACTAACTGGTCCTGAAAGGTTTTGAATTTCAATAGCCCTCATAGACAGAAGTTTAGAAGGAACTGCTTAGTCTCTGCTGTAGGACACCCTGAAGGAAGCTGCTTTAGAGAAGAGAAACTGAACCTCTTTAAGAGCTAATACCTTACTCTGTACTAGGACATTTTCCAAAGACTACCTTCTTTAGCATATAAAGAAAAACAAAGGCTCAGGAACAAAGCCAAGTAATCCTGAGGAATCCTGGAATGTGTTGAACCTGGAAGAGGGCTTGCTTTCCTAAAACAAAACTCCATCCATTTGATACCCTCCTCCTTTCTAAAGAGCTCTCCTCCCTCTCCACTCCCCCGCCCCGCGAAAGTAAAGTGGGTGTTTGTATTACTCTCTCTTTCCCTGTTTAGCAGGCATGTTGGTATTCAGCCTGTCCTACCTGCTCTCAATATGTGCTGTTTTCAGTTTCTTTGCAAAAATACCCAGGGGCGCCAGCAATAGATGTCATATAAATACCCAGATGGATGGATTTCATAATCTCCCTGGGACTTAGCCCAGTGTGGCATTCCATTTGAGGTTGAAGCGGGATTGGCCAGCTGGAGGCAATGCTCCCAACTTCTGCAAAGCCTCCATCTGATGCTGCAAGCAGGTGTTACCTGCATTAAGCAAATCCAGTGTGCAAAGCTTCTCCTGATTGCAAAAGAGAAATTAAGGATTGATTTCTTACTTTACAAGAAGATTCCACCTTGGGATTCCTTTAAAAAGAGAACGTTTCTAGCACACTTACAATCCTTCCCAACGACAGAGATTTGAGTTAGCTGCAGTTTTTCAGGGAATACTCCTAAGGTGGCCAGAGACAGAGGTGCACACTGACTTTGTTTTCATGACGCTTAACAGGTCCCTAACGTCCTGAACCCCAGTTACTTCACCCAGTGCAGCTCTTCAGAGACAAGTGTAGGCTCAGGCATACTCCCCCCCCACCCCCAAAACCTCAACGCTGCGCTGTGGTTTACGAGTAGTCAGAATTTTAAATTGAGCTCCATTATCTAAGCAGGAAACTTTCTGGGTATGTTTGTTTTTTCTTTGTGAGAAGAAGCGACACAAAATAGCTTTAGTATCTATTCAGAGAGGCTCCCCCCCCCGCCCCCGCTTCCTAGTGCCCATAGGCAAGGGCCACCAGAAAAAGAGTGGAAATGGAAACAAATCAAAGCAAAGGTATATGCCAAGAGCCTCTGAAAACCACCCTTGTGAAAATAATTTCCTGACTTTTGAGAGTCACGGTCTTGAAAAGCTGACTTCTTAACGTCTGTGTTGCGAAAAGATGTCCGCGGTGCTTATTGAAAACCATCTCCCCACCCCGTTCCCGGTTCTCTCCCTCCGTTAGGCAAAACTTGCATTCCAGAAAGACATGATGAAGCCTTTGGCCCCGGCCTTCCTGTCGTCGCCCCTGGCGGCGGCGGCCGCGGTGTCGTCGGCACTGTCGCTGCCGCCCCGACCGTCGGCGTCGCTCTTCCAGGCGCCCGCCATCCCCCCCGCGCTGCTGCGGCCGGGCCACGGGCCCATCCGCGCCACGCCCGCCTCCATCCTCTTCGCGCCCTACTGACGGCCGGCGCCCCGGGCCGCTGCAGGGGGAGGGCCCGAGGGGTGCGGCGGCGGCGGGAGCGCTTGGCGTTGCGGCCCCAACTCCGCCTCCCCCAGCCACCACCCCAGCCCCGACTCCAAAGACTTAAGAAATCACTAGGCTCAAGAGTGCTTTTAGGGACCGCTCCCACCGTTAGGGATCTGAGCAGCCCAGGCTTTACGCCCCTGTTCCCTACCCCCACCCTGTCCCTCTCCCCGCTCCCCCGCCACTCGATCTGTGTATCTGAGATAATTGGTTTCTTGCAAATGTATCGGTGAGAAAACAAAACAAAACAATGTATCTATATACCATTCTCTGACTCTTTTTCCATGGGTGTGATCTGGCTTAGAAAACGATAAGGAATATTTTCCTGACAGACTTGAAAACTAGGGTCTTCCTCACACGTCTGTAAATAACTCTGGAATCCAACTGGGCACATTCTAGTGTGGAACAAAAATAGATGAACACAAGTGCTTACTTGTGGATACCATCTTACCAACGGATCACAATGTTTTCTTTTCTGGTGTACTCTTGTCGACAGGGATTGTGTACTGTTTTAGACCCAAGTACTGTTGTATCCTGTGTAGTACTAGTTCTGTATCTCTTGTCTGAATTCAACATTTTTAGTTGCTGTGTAAATGTTAGGAAGCAAAATAGCTTTGAATTTTCTCTTTAAGAGAACAAAAGATAATGTATTTTCTTTGTTTCACGTTTTATTTGGTAATATTTAAAAGAACTAGAAAGCCATATAACATAGCTATAATTACTACCTGTTTGCTATTTTTGTTTAACTTATTTTGTAGCTTCCTCACTTTAGTTTGAGTTGCTAAGCAAATGTATACAACCAGAAAAAAAGAGCTTCCTAAGTTGCACATTTTTGCACCTCTTGTGCATTCTGCAAGGAGACAATGAATCCATGTATTTCTACGTAATTATCTTTTTCATTTTTAACCTGTTTCATTTGTAATGATGCTACATAATTTTGTGGCTCCCTAATGCAATAATGTACAGGAGATAAAAAATTTATAATTGAACAATTTGTCTTTCTGTTCACCGAATATGTTGCAGGTCATGCTCCCATGCCCCCCTTTCTAAACTGGTATCAACAAGACTGGAATGTTTGTGGTATCAGGGGCAAGAGGTATCATAAAACAACAAAACAGAGTGAACTCTTTTAGAGCATCTATATCTGCAATCTGTAAATGGTAAAATGTCTGTGTATTTTTTTAAATGTACCTTTTCAATAAAAGTACAAAAAGTAAAAGCCTGTTTGTGTTTTCAAAGTTATTTTCTCCTGAGACGCCTTCAATTTGAAATCATCTGATGAACGATTTTCAGTAGGTGCAAGGATTGCTCCTTACATATTTAGCATTTTCAGGTCTTATTTGAAGCATTTTTATTTGTCATGTTTATTCATTACTGTTCACAGCATCTGCGTGAGGCAAGACTTTCCTGCTCTTTTCCCTCTGAATCCCTAAGAAGTCGGGACAAGTTGTGAGTGTAGCCCTAAATCACAGTAGTAGCCTGATAAAAAATTTGTGACTCTGATTTTTTTTTTTAACTTTCTCTAAGTCTTCTAAATCCCTAGCCCATCTTTCATTTGTGTCCAAGGCATTTATGATCTCCTTCTATTCCACTCCTCTGATCAGCCCACCCTTTTTTTCTTCCTACTTCATTCTCTTTTTAAGTGTAAAGATCAATACATCACTATTTGTTCTGGTTACCTGCTTAACGAACTACTTCAAAACTTAGTGGCTTAAAATAACAACCATCTCATATCGTGATTTCAGAGGTCAAGAATTCCAACCAGGCTCGGCTGGGCTGTTCTTCTGTTCGAGGAGGCATCAATATGAAGTCCCTTGGTAATACTTGGGGGAGGGGCGGTGTCTGGAGGCCCAAGATGGCTTCACTCACAGGTGCGCCTGGTGGCGGCTGGAAGGCTGAACTCCACTGGAACAGTTACCGAAAGACCGACACATGGCCTCTCCAGCTATGTGGTCTTAGGCAATGACATAGTAACTCAGGGCTCCCAGAGAGAGAGCATTTCAAGGGGCCTGTGTGGAAGTCAAAAAGCTTCTTATAAAATTGTCTCAGAACTCCCAGCCTGTCACTTACGCCGCATTCTATTGATCAAGCAAGTCACTAAGGCCAGTCCAGATTCAAGGCGAAGGAAAGTATTCACTTTTCAATGTGAAAAAGAGCAAAGAATCTGTGGCCATCTTTAATCTACCACTCTGTTACAGAACTTTGAGGGGAGTGGTAACAAAGCTATGACAGAGCCCCCTTTCCCCCACCATAAGCCCAAACCATGCCAGTTCTTTAAAATGAGAGGAATGGGGGTGGGGTGGGACCTCAATTCTCCTTTCTAAAAAGTTAAGGCCAGTGGCTGGCAGTGCAGCTGTGCTCGGCGGCAATAGGCTTCCTTTATCAAAGAGTTTATCCAACTGTTGGAAAATTGTTGACCTTAATATTCTAGGCGTATAATCAGGTTAGTGTTAGAGTCTATTAAAATTCCAGTTTGACGTTCAGAGTTTGTTTGTTTTACTATGAGTCCTTTCAACTCTATACTAGTTACTCTAAACCTTGGTTGGACCTTCAGACATAGCTTAGAAACGTCATGATCTGAAAGAAATGTGTTTCCGCGTAACACTTTGGAGAAGTTTGGTTTTTTTTATCATTACTATCATGAACTCCAGCGGCTATTATATTTCATTTCTCTTGTATATCCTCTATCTCATTAATGTTCACTGCCATCCTCAAAAATTTTTAAATGTCAGTATTTAAATAGACCCAGAAACCTACTGATTAGATTTATAGTTTAAGATTTTGAAAAATCACCTCAGGGAAGAAGTACAAAAGAATAGCAATTAATTAAAATGCATGCCTCCAAAAGTAGCCATGAGTAGCTTCAAGTAATGACATACACAACACTATTAAACAGATACAGCTTATCCAACCTGATTCTGAGGTAGCACAGTGGGTCAATCCTAAGCAGATGTGTATATTGGAACGAATAGCCATTTTTAGTGGGGAAAGACTACCACTCTACCCCTCCACTTATTGGGAAAGTTAAAAAATGTGCTGTTTACTCTGACATAGTCCAGCTCTGGTCTCTGTAGAATATGTAAATTGATCTCAGACAGGATTGCCAGATAAAATATAAAACACCTAAACAAATTTGAATTTCAGGTCAACAATGAATAATTTTTAATAGAATATTTTAATAATTTTAATAAGATGTTGCACATGGTATAAGTACATTCCAGAAGTAAGTATGCAATATTTGGGATGTACTTATACTAAAGAATATTTGTTGTTTATCTGAAATTCACATTTAAGCCTGTATTTTTCCTTGCTAAATCAGGCAGCCCTTGTCTCGGGAGCATTCCTCTTCATCTCAAGTACCATGATTCTTCAGGAAAGAAGTGACCCCTGGTACTCACAACCAAATAACAAGATTTTGAAGGCACATTGTTAGATGCACTCACCAAATACGCAGAGGAAGGAACTTGCAGTAAATCAAAGTCAATGATATATTGACATTGGATGGGACCAGGGCATGGGGAAAACGTAGCTACAGATGCCCCTTACTGAAAGCCACACTGACAGCTGCTTAACAAAACTAAACTGTTGTAAAAGCAAAAAATAGAATTCTCATTTCTATTACGCACCAAACATACCACCCCTGATGTGCTCCTTCTTTGCCCTAAGAGAATGCCTATATTCTGGGGCAGAAATGGTTGTGTTTGTGTAGAATTTTTCTCTCAGAAAGTGCTAGAAGGAGAACTACACCGCAGTTGATATAGCTGAGAAAGGGAACCATGGGAATTCCCACCGGAAAAAAAACTAAGGAGACAGAGCTGATGGAGCATCAGGTGGAAATCCTGTTGTGCTATAACACTCCCTTCAGGAACCTAAAGGGACTCACTGAAGAGGTTGAGTTTGGGGATGTTTTGAGAAATGGGCACCCACTGCCCGGGGTGTGATCAGAGAGAAGGGTGATGGCAGGAGGGGAGAGATGACCAGGAACCCTTTGACAGATAAAGTCAGCATCAAGACGTACACCCTTGGTAAGCACGAGCTTCTTCTGGTAACAGGCATAGGGACTTCATTTCACCTCTGTAGGCCTGCTAGGTGGATTCTGGCCTCTCTTCAGTGTTCCTTCCACCAGATCTTGATTTGGTTAATATGATGGCCCTAGTCTAGTAACATCAGAGTTGACATGGCCTCTTTGGGAAAATCCTAGTTTTGATACTTCGGTGGGCTGAGGAGGAGCTGTGGAGTATAAGAGCATATTCCACAGGGGATGATCATCTCTGCCTCCTTCCTTACACCAGGTAATTAGCTCCACGGGGGAATTCATCAGGGGCCTGATACAGGCTCTCAGCAGCAATGGAGCATGACTGCAGGGAAGTGCCCTGATTTCTTTGGCTAAAATGTCTAAAACAAGAGTGGCAATACAATGTATTCTTCTACTCATTAAGTGCTCAAGCTGCATCAACCTCTGGTTGTCAGATCACTAATGTGGACACAGTGACAATATCTTCATGTCGTATTCATTTTAAGAAGTCACTTATCTACAGATGATTGGACAAGCTAGTCATTAAGCACCTCCTTTTCATTTTTATTAGAGTAAAAAAGTAAAATTAGGATGGAAGAGAATTAAATAAGAACAATACACAGTTTGGGGCTCCTGGGTGGCTCAGTCGGTTAAGCGTCTGCCTTTGGCTCAGATCATGATCCCAGGGTCCTGGGATTGAGCCCCATGTCTGGCTCTCTGCTCCACGGGGGGATCTCCTTCTCCCTCTCCCTCTGCCTTGCTTGTGTGCTCTCTCTGTCTAATAAATTTTTTTAAAAATCTTTAAAAAAGGAACAATACACAATTTGCATTCAAAAGACATGAATTCAAATCCTATCATGTCATCTGTTTCTTAGTTCTGTGATTTTATGTCATTTTCCCAGAGCCCCAGTTTCTCATACAT